CAATAGTAGATAATTAGCAGCAGCAGCAATCACTAGATATTACACCAGCAGATACACCTGAAGAAACAACAGCAACAACAACACTAGTAACACCAACAACACCATAAACAGCAGCAGCAACAACAACAACAACAGCAGCAGCAACAGCAACAGCAGCAGCAGCAGCAGCAGCAATAAATACCCTAGCTCCCGCAACAGAAATAGGTCCAACATATTGATTAAGAAGAGGAGGAAGACGAGGAGGAAGTAAGTTACTCTGTTCTATTGGATCTAATGCAGGTAAATATATTAATGGTGACACCTGCTGCTGCTGCTGCTGCTGCTGCTGTTGTTGTTGTTGTTGTTGGTCTGGTTGCTGTTGTTCTTGAACATCTGGATTACTTTCTGCTGCAGCAGGTGTTGTTGCTGCTGCAGCTGGTGTTGCTGCTGCTGCAGCAGGTATATCTGTTAGTCTTCCTGTTGCTGCAGTTGTTGCTGCAGTTGTTGCTGCAGCAGTTGCTGCAGTTGCTGCAGCAGGTACGATATCTATAGTATCTATAACATCATCTGCACACATAGCTGTAGCTAAACGTTGCTGCTGCTGCATAGATATTTGCTGCTGCTGCTGCTGCTGCCATAATAAATGTAATAATGTATGTCTTCTGAATAGATCTGCATGCGGTGGTCTTTGCTGCTGCAGCAATTTTTCTTTTTGCTGCTGCTGCTGCTGCTGTGCATAACCAATTACTGCTGATAGACTCTTACTCCCATTCCCTCCACCTCTACTACTACTACTACTACTAATACTGCTGCTGCTGCTGCTGCTGCTGCTGCTGCTGCTGCTGCTAGCTGACCTCATATACATTGCATGCCCTAATGGCTTACTATTAACTAATGCCATCTCTACCTCCTGTGTCATCTTCTGTGCTGCTTCCTCCAACCCTGCATGCAACAAACAGCAGCAGCAGCAGTAGTAGATAGAGATAGATATACAGATACAGATACAGCAGCAGCAGCAGGAGGAGGAGGAGGAGGAGGAGGATTGATTACCTGGTATCCTATCCTCAACAAATGATTGAAATAGCCAAGCAGCACGAAGAGCAAAATGAATATATGTGCTGCATACATCTAATAAAAATCTATCCAATGGAGATTTTGTATACCTGCAGCAGCAGCAGCAGCAGCAGCAGCAGCAGCAGTGCATGCAACAACAACAGTATTATAATTACTTATTAGTTAATATTAATTGGCATATAAATACAGGTAAATAATATAATTAATATTATATATATATTTATATTAGTATATAATAAATATACAAGAAATTGTTGTATACCCAACATAAAAAGTATGCAAAACAATCAGCAGCAACAGCAGCAGCAGCAGCAAACAGCAGCAGCAGCAAGTGAATAATAATTACCTATTAGTTAATACTAATTGACATAATTGAGGTAAATAATAATTAATATGATGAATATATTTCTATTAGTATATAATAAATATACAAGAAATTGTTGTATACCCAACATAAATATACACAAAAAGAAGAGAAAAAAAAGCAGCAAACAGCAGCAACAGCAGCAGCAAGAGTATAACAATTACCTAGTTAATGCTAATTGACATAATTGAGGTAAATAATAATTAATATGATGAATATTTCTATTAGTATATAATAAATGTACAAGAAATTGTTGTATACCTAATTGATTTTTTTTATGAAATAAATAAAACATATGAAAATGAATATCAAATAATTCGGAACGAAATAAACGTAATAATGAATCCTCTCCTCCTCCTCCTGTTCCTCCTCCTACTCCTGTTCCTGTTCCTGTTCCTGTTCCTGTTCCTCCTCCTCCTGTTCCTGTTCCTGTTCCTGTTCCTCCTCCTCCTGTTCCTGTTCCTGTTCCTCCTCCTCCTGTTCCTGTTCCTGTTCCTCCTCCTACTGTTCCTGTTCCTGTTCCTCCTCCTACTCCTGTTCCTCCTCCTCCTCCTCCTGTTCCTGTTCCTGTTCCTCCTCCTGTTCCTGTTCCTACTCCTCCTGTTCCTCCTACTCCTGTTCCTCCTACTCCTCCTGTTCCTCCTGTTCCTGTTCCTGTTCCTGTTCCTGTTCCTCCTCCTACTCCTGTTCCTGTTCCTGTTCCTCCTGTTCCTGTTCCTCCTCCTGTTCCTGTTCCTGCTCCTGTTCCTGTTCCTCCTCCTCCTCCTCCTGTTCCTGTTCCTGTTCCTGCTCCTGTTCCTGTTCCTGTTGCTGCTCCTGTTGTTGTCTTGCTGCTGCTGGTGGTGGTGGTGGTGGTGAGGGTGGTGATGGGTGGTGGGGTTGGTGTTGGACGGAGATGATGACGGGATGTTGGGGATGATTTAGGGAAACCACCATGTAATTTTAGTAAACTGTTACTATTTGTTTTGTTGCTGCTGCTGCTGCTGCTGCTGTTGCTGTTGCTGCTGTTGCTGCTGTTGTTGCTGCTGCTGCTGGTTGGTGGTGGTGTTGGAGGTTGATGATCATGATCATGATTATTGTTCG